TTTTTTTGATTTAATCAATAATTAAGGAGATAACCTCAAAATAATAATTTTTCCGTTTTTATACATAATTATACTTAGATGCTTAATTAATAGAGATGTAAAATTTTTTTATTAAGACAATTGATTCAAAATCGAAATTGAAACAAATTTTATTTAAAATATTTTTTGATAAAAACAATAATTAGTGAGATAATTAATTTTGATAGCATACTATTCAGAGGGAAATTAAAATTTCAAGTTAGCAAAAAATTTTATTAACAAACACTGTTCCTGAAGTAATTCTAAACAAATTTTGTTAACAACATTTTTTGATTAAATCAACAATAAGGAAACAACTTTTGTATGAAATTTTCTGCTGAGAACGAGTGGAGGGGGGAAATCGTTTTGTTACAAAAGTTCCGTGCCCTACTTATGACACATCGTTTTTAGCATCAAGTTTCTTCTAAAAAAGAAAAAACATATTTTTTTTTGCTTGTGACATAATCCTATTTTCAAATTAACCACGTCGTGATTAATAAATGATTTTATTACTCCGCATTGTGCATTTTGCTTTAGTTTTATTAGTCACCGACTAAACAATCATAAAAGGATCGCTCTCACCGAGAAATAATAAATTTTAATAAGACCGTTCGCTTTATCATTGTATTTCTCATGTGAGTGTAATTAAATCATAAAATGTTGATACTAAGAAGATTTTTTTAACAAATTTATTTTCGATTTGAAATTTTTATCGAAATTTACTCCAGTTAGAAGATATTTAAAGAATTTAAAGAGGTGTAAACGAGATGTCTCGGCTTATTTAAAAGTCTAAATTTATCCGGCGACAAATTAAAATAAATTAAAATAAAAAGAAATTTGTTAAGAATTATTTATCAAACAAATCCAATTCTAACATTGCAAATGATTAATAGGAAACAATAAAATGTACGAGTTCAAATTGGCCTTTTTTATTATTTGGAGAGAGTTTGAATGGAAAAGTCGCGTATTCTGATAAGAATTTTTTCTTTCTCTCTAACCTTTTTATTTATTTACTTTTTTTCGTTTTTAAAGTAAGCGAATATTATCGAGAAAAGGAAGGGGACACTTTATAACCGAACGCTTAAGCCGTTTAAACATATACTTTCCGTTCACCTGCGTTTTAGTACGCGCGATGCATTACAGTTTTAGTTTAGTTTAAATTAATACGCGAATCAAACTCTTATTTAATAATTAAAACGTTAATTAACAATTTAATTAATAAATAATTATTAATAATCAAAAATGTGGTCGCGAGTGCTAAAAATTTGGTTCGTTTTAATTTTTATGGTATATTTTTTTCGCAAAAGGTAAACGAATTTAAAGCATTTTTCTCTAAAACGTTGTTATCGTTCGATCTTTTATTACATTATGATATTTGTAGTTGTTCAATGCCAACAACTGAAACTTGGGATAAAACAACGACGATTAACAATTTAAATTTAACCCAAGAAATCGCTTCAACTTATTTCGCTAAGAATAAAACGGAAATTGATCAAACGACGATAAAAGACGGCCTAAATTTCGTTGAGGATGATAATAAAGTTATTGAGACTGAATCGGTTTGCCCAGAATTAAGCGGAAATTACGATGAGTTAACTCAAACGAGATTTTCAACCATATTAACACAAGATTGTCGTTATGATAAGTTAACGAAACCCGATAAAGATCAAGTTACTGATGTTACGCTTCAAATTGATATTAGACATATTGAAGCTATGGAGCAAATGGTAATTAAAAAGTCAAAAAAATAATTAATTAAAGGATATTTTTGGAAAGAGCATAAAATTTCGTGTAATTTGATACCAAACATGATATATTTACGATTAAAAATAAAAAATTTAATTAATTTAATTAATTAAAAAAATTAAAAATTCCATATTTGGTTAATTTTAGCCGAAATATATTCGTGTTTGGTATCAAATTAAAGGAAATTTCATTTCCTAACTGAATTTTATCACAAAGTACAGGGTGGTTCAAATTCGATGTCCGAATAGGATAACTCGGAAACGATAAGAGTTAGAAAAAAAGTAGCTTATATGTCATGATTAGTCAAGAGTCAAAAAATTTTTCGGTTTTTTAAATTCGTTATTTTTTTCTGATTACAAAAATATAGGGTTCGACAGGTCTATTTCTTATTGTTTTCGAATAAAGTTAAAAATAAAGTATTTTTATAAAATTTCCATCTAGTGTCGTCGAGGAAATTAAATTTACAGTTTCCTGTAAGCTACGGGGCGGTAGGTAAAATCTAAAAAGTTAACAATTAAATACGAAGATAACTTCTGGTATTTAAAAACAAATAATTTTGTAATATGTAACATTCTAACATGTGAAACTTTTCAAAATTTTCGTAATTTTTAAAGTGACACTTTAATCATCCATCTATCGATAATTTATTAAGTCATTTAAAAATAATATTAAATCGTAATAAAAAATGTGAAATAATGCAATCTATTCCAAATTTGTGTAAAACATATATAAATTAAAAATAAATTTGTTTCAAATATCAGAAATATGTTTTTTTAATTTTTAGTTATAATTTACAGGAAACTGTAAATTTAATTTCTTCGACGACACTAAAAGAAAAGTTTATTTTTAGTTTTATTCTAAAACAATAAGAAATAAACCCGTCAAACCCTATATTTTTGTAATCAGAAAAAAATAACGAATTTATTAAGCGAATAATCAGTGGTTGTTTCCATTTAAAAAAACGTGATAATATCTCAAAATTTAAAACCGACAAATTTGACTACGTCATCAAATTCTCTGTAAAAAAGTGTCCATATAATGTCTTAGTTATAATTAGGGCACGGAACTTTTGTAACAAAAGCATACTGTTCGGTGGGAAATTAAAATTTCAAGTTGGAAAAAAATTATTTTAACAAAAATTGTTCCTGAAACAATTCTTAACAAACATTGTTAACCAAATTTTTTGATTTAATCAATAATTAAGGAGATAACCTCAAAATAATAATTTTTCCGCTTTTATACATAATTACACTTAGATGCTTAATTAATAGAGATGTAAAATTTTTTTATTGAGATAATTGATTCAAAATCGAAATTGAAACAAATTTTATTTAAAACATTTTTTGATAAAAACAATAATTATTGAGATAATTAATTTTGATAGCATACTATTCAGAGGGAAATTAAAATTTCAAGTTAGCAAAAAATTGTATTAACAAACACTGTTCCTGAAGTAATTCTAAACAAATTTTGTTAACAACATTTTTTGATTAAATCAACAATAAGGATATAACCTCAAAAATATTAATTTTTGTAGCATACTATTCAGTGGGAAATTAAAATTTCAAGTTAGAAAAAAATTGTGTTAACAAAAATTGTTCCTGAAACAATTCTAAACAAACTTTGTCAACAATTTTTTTTGATTTAATCAATAATTAAGGAGATAACCTCAAAATAATAATTTTTCCGTTTTTATACATAATTATACTTAGATGCTTAATTAATAGAGATGTAAAAATTTTTTATTAAGATAATTGATTCAAAATCGAAATTGAAACAAATTTTATTTAAAACATTTTTTGATAAAAACAATAATTATTGAGATAATTAATTTTGATAGCATACTATTCAGAGGGAAATTAAAATTTCAAGTTAGCAAAAAATTGTATTAACAAACACTGTTCCTGAAGTAATTCTAAACAAATTTTGTTAACAACATTTTTTGATTAAATCAACAATAAGGATATAACCTCAAAAATATTAATTTTTGTAGCATACTGTTCAGTGGGAAATTAAAATTTCAAGTTAGAAAAAAATTGTGTTAACAAAAATTGTTCCTGAAACAATTCTAAACAAACTTTGTCAACAATTTTTTTTGATTTAATCAATAATTAAGGAGATAACCTCAAAATAATAATTTTTCCGTTTTTATACATAATTATACTTAGATGCTTAATTAATAGAGATGTAAAAATTTTTTATTAAGATAATTGATTCAAAATCGAAATTGAAACAAATTTTATTTAAAACATTTTTTGATAAAAACAATAATTATTGAGATAATTAATTTTGATAGCATACTATTCAGAGGGAAATTAAAATTTAAAGTTAGCAAAAAATTTTATTAACAAACACTGTTCCTGAAGTAATTCTAAACAAATATTGTTAATAAAATTTTTTGATTTGATCAATAATTAAGTACATAACCTCAAAAAAATTTGTATACAGGGTGATTTATAACATACGGAGCAGACTAAAAGGGTAGGTACTAGGAGCCAAATTGAATATATTTTTCTAATAAAATTTTGACCACAACTTAATAATCACAAAGATATAGAACGTTAAAGTTGAAGTAATGGCCGAGCATTTCTTACCATATAGGGTGTTACACTACATTTAAATTCAAACTGCGAATATTTCGGGGTTACTTAAACAATGCATAATTAATAAAAATAATAAAATCTTTATAACATAGCAGTTACGGCTATTTAAAAATTTGCTAAAACGCTCAAACGGTNAATTTCTGAACTTTTATAATAATTTTTTTTCACGAATCGTCATCATTTTTGCTCTAGTATGTGAGGTTAATTTTATGTCCCGAGTCACCGGAACACCCTGTATATATTTTTATACATATTTTTATTGAGAAAATCGTTTTAGAATTTAATTTAGAACAACTTTTGTATGAAATTTTCTGCTGAGAACGATTGGAGGGGGGAATCGTATTGTTTTGTTACAAATAATTCAATTTTGGCCTCTAGCGGAAAAACAAAAGACGATAGCGCTATGAGGTTTTCGGCATTAGCAGTTTCTCGAAAAACCAGATCACGATATGTCAGCTACTTTTCTTCTAACTCTTATAGTTTTCGAGTTAGCCTATTCGGACATCGAATTTGAACCATCCTGTACAGGGTGTCCAAATTTCGATGGGTATCTCAGTTATTATGACAGATAGAAAGTTGCGGCTTTCGCGAACCTGAGCTACTTTTTTGTGAAACAATGGCGCAAACCAAATTTTCATAGCCATCTTTGTTTTTGATATACAGGGAGTGTTTCAAAATTTACGATTTTCAGACACCTCCTGTATCTCGGCTATCCGGAAACTTAGTAAAAAAGTAAAAACGGTGCACGTAGAATTTTTGTAGTCTTCACGGTTTTTGAGTTATAAAGAGTTAAGTATGAGTATTTAGTATTCGAGTTGTGTCCATCGAAATTTGGACACCTGTACAGGGTGGTTCAAATTCGATGTCCGAATAGGCTAACTCGGAAACTATAAGAGTTAGAAAAAAAGTAGCTTCCATGTCATGATCTCGTTTTTCGAGAAACTGCTAATGCCGAAAACCTCATAGCGCTATCGTCTTTTGTTTTTCCCCTAGAGGCCAAAATTGAAAATATCGTAAAACCAGCAAGTGCAATTATCTTGGTTATTATTATAGGTGGAGTATTATAACGTAGACATTATATGGACACTTTTTTACAGAGAATTTGATGACGTAGTCAAAAAAATTTTGTCGGTTTTAGATTTTGAGATAT